CCCCCCTTCACCTCGGGGCTCCTTGGGCCGGGGCTCCCGGCGCTTCCGCTTCCGGGCCGGTTTCAGCCACGGACTCTCCTTCCAGCGCTTCCGGGCCCGGCGCCGGGGCCCCCACCCGCCCTGAACCCCCGGCACGTCAGGGGGGGCCGGGGGGCCCCAAATACCCTCAAAACCGCCCAAAATACCCCCGGAAACCCCCAAAACCACCCCAAATACCCCAGGAAACTGCCCAAACTGCCCAAAATATCCCCAAAATCACTGAAACCGCCCAAAACACCCCCAGAAACGCCCCAAACCACCCCAAATTCCCCAGAAAACCGCCAAAACTGCCCAAAATATCCCCAAAATTACTGAAACCGCCCAAAATACCCCTGGAAACCCCCAAAACCACCCCAAATACCCCCAAGAATGGCCAAATACCCCCAAAACCACTTGAAATGCCCTGGGAATAGCCAAAACCACCACAAATACTCCCAAAACCACCCAAAATCCCCCCAAAACACCCCAAAATGCCCCAAATTCCCCCTGAAATGCCCCAAATCCACTGAGAACACCCTGAAAACGTCTTAAATTCCCTCAAAATGTCCCGAATCTCCCTAAATCCCCCCTAAATGCCCCCAAAACACCCAAAAACGCCGTAAATACCCCCAAAACTCCCCACATCCGCCCAAAACCAACCTAAAAGCACCCCAAATCACTGCAAAACACCGCAAAATGCCCCAAAACACCCCAAAACATCCCCAGTCCCGTCAAAACACCCAGAAAAGCCCCAAATACCCCCAAAACACCGCAAAACGCCCCTAAAATGCCCCCAAAACACCCAAACGTGTCTCCAAAACACCCCAAGTCCCATCAAGGCACCCAGAAACACCCCAAACAGTCCCAAAACACCCCGAAACGCCCCAAACGTCCCCAAAACGCCCCGAAACGGCGCGGGGCCCTCACGCGCTCGGCCGCGGCCGCCGCCTCCTCGTCCTCCTCGTCCTCGTCGTCCTCGTCCTCGTCCTCCTCCTCCTCCTCCTCCTCGTCCTCCTCTTCCTCCTCCTCCTCCTCCTCGCTCAGCGCCTCCCCGGGAGCCTCCGACTGGCGGGGGCCCAGGCGTCCGGCCCCGCCCCCGACACCCCCGGGGCACCCGGGACACCCCCAACACCCGGTGGCACCTACAACCTCTTGGGGACACCCGCAGCCTCCCGGGGACACCCCAAGACCCAGGGACACCCGCTGACACCCCAGGGACACCCAGAGTCTCCCGGTGACACCCAGTGACTCCCATTGACTTTGCAGTCCCGCCCAGTGTCCCCCAGTGTCCCCCAGTGTCCCCAGTGTCCCCACTGTCCCCCAGTATCTCCAGTATCCCCAGTATGGCCAGTATCCCCATTGCTCCCCCAGTATCCCCAGTATCTCGATTGACCCACAGTATCCCCAGTGCCTCCCAGTGTCCCCAGTATCTCCAGTGCCCCAGTGTACCCAGTATCCGCAGTGTCCTCAGTGGACCCAGTATCCCCATTAACCCCCAATGTTCCCATTACCCCCAGTGTCCCCCATTATCCCCATGTCCCCATTGTCCCCCAGTATCTCCAGTGTCCCCAGTACCCAGTGTCCCTCCGTGTTCCCACTTTCCCCCCAATATCCCCAGCATCCCGATTGTCCCCCCAGTGTCCCCAGTACCCAGTGTCCCCCGTGTTCCCACTGTCCCCCCAGTATCCCCAGTATCCCGATTGTCCCCCCAGTGTCCCCAGTATCCCCAGTGTCCCCAGAGCCTCCCAGTGTCCCCATTATCCCCAGTGCCTCCCAGTGTCCCCAGTGTCCCCAGTGCCACCTCTTTGCTGTCCGAGTCCCCGTGCCCGTCCACGGAGAACCCGTCGTAGAAGAGGGAGAAGGCGGCGCCGCCGTCACCGTCCCACTCGTCAGCGCCCCGGACGCCGGGGCCCCCCCGGCCCCGCCCCGGCCCGGCCGCCATCTCCTCCGTCACCGTGATCTGCAACGGGGGGCCGGGCGTCCGAGAGGGGCCCCGGCGTCCGGGAGGGGCCAGGAACCAGGGAAGGGGCCCCGGCGTCCGGGAGGGGCCCGGAACCAGGGAAGGGGCCCCGGCGTCCGGCCTCACCTCGGTGCTGGCGCGGGGGCCGGGTCTCTGCAGCCGCTTGTGCAGCCCCTCGGCG